TCTCTCCTTCATCTTTATCTTCGTCTCCTGGGCCAGGGTCTCACAATGTGGCTCACAGTGTGGTTCAGGATGGCCTGGACCTCATGGCAAGCCTCTTGACTCAGCCTCCTGAGTGCTGGGATTACAGATGTGAGCCACACCTGGCTTGATCTAGGCTGCTTTCAGATATGGTGTCCCAAGCCAGAGCCATCTCAGACACCCTAGTTCAGGGAAAGCCCCATTCTGACCCCTCCAAATCAATCCAGTGACTGCACCTCTCTCTCCCCCCAGAATCACGTCCCCAGGGAGGAGGTTTGTGCTCCACGAGGGGAGGGCCCAGCCATTCCAGGAGACACTCCACCGCCCACTCCTCGCTCTGCCCGTCTTGAGAGAATGACCCAGGCCTTAGCACTGCAGGCAGGGTCCTTGGAGGATGGGGGACCCTCGAGGGGAAGGTCAGCAGGGACAAGGGCTGGGAATGGGGAGGAGCTTGCTTGGAAGGCTGAGGCAGGGGGGTGAATAAGGACTTGGGAGGGCAGGAGTACCTCGGAAGATGTCTGCCCTTACTCTCTCCTGCTCACCCAGTGAGGGTACCCCAGATTCCTTGCACAAAGCCCCCAAAAAGAAGAGCATCAAGTCATCCATAGGCCGCCTCTTTGGCAAGAAAGAGAAGGGGCGGATGGGACCCCCAGGCCGGGACAGCTCTTCCCTGGGTGAGTGCTCTGATCACGGCCCTGCTCTCTGTGTCCCCCGCCATCTTTTCTCAGTCTTGGACATTCATTCATATATTCACTCATTTGCTCATTTGGTTAGAATGCGGACCAGCAGGACTGTGGAGATAGACAGAGGAGGAAGGAGAAAGAGGGTGTGCTAGGGCCTGCCTGGGTGGGCAAATTAATTGATTTCATCTTTTTCTTAAATGTGTGCAACTGAGAGTTGAACCCAGGGCCCTCATGCTGAGCTACATCCCCAGTCCTTTTTGTTTTTATTTTTTATTTTGAGGCAGGGTCTTGCTAAATTGCCCAGGCTGGGCATGAGATTGTGATCCTCCCACCTCTTTGGGGGGCATCTCCAGTCCCTTGCCATGAGGTGACACTGGTCCCTTGGGCTCCACTTCGCCCTCCCTGTGGCCTCGCTCGCACCTCCCTCAGGGCCTGTGCCTCTGGGTGTCCCTTTCACCCACCCCTAGCTCCTCCCTGAGACTTTCCCAATTTTGTCCCCTGCCTGCACCCAGCTGGAACCCCCTCGGAGGAGACACTGGCTGCCGATCCTCTGGGGCTGGCCAAGCTGACAGGCCCAGGAGACAAGGACCGGAGGAACAAGCGGAAGTGAGTGTGTGTCTGTGTGTGCACATGCATGTATGTGTGTGCAGGGTGATGATGGTGGTGGATATAGGTAAGACCAAATGATGCCGGAACTGGGTGTCCATGATTTTTTTTTTTTTTTTTTTTTTACCGGGGATCAAACTCGGGTCCTTGAGCTTGTGAGGCAGGTGACTGAACCACTGAGCCAAATCCCCAGCCCATAAAGTTTTTTGAGTTTAAAGAACTTTCTTTTTTTTGGTACCAGGGATTGAACTCAGGTCCTTGAAATTGCACAGCAGGTGGTGAAACCACTGAGCTAAATCCCCGGCCCTGGGTGTCCATGATTTTGAACTCTTTTTTTCTTTTTCAGGATTCTGAACTTGCTTACAGGGAAACTCTTAGAGGTCCTCCTCTCTCTCTCTCCTCTCTCTCTCTCTCTCTCTCTCTCTCTCTCTCTCTCTCTCTGTGACACGGAGGATTGAACCTAGGGCCTTCACTCTGAGCTCCATCTCTAGCCCCTTTTTATTTTTTATTTTGAGAAAGGGTCTCTCTAAGCCACTAAATTGCCCAGGCTGGGTTTGAACTTGCCGTCCTCCTGCCTCAGCCTCCCAGAGTGCCGGGATTACAGAAGTGCGCCGCCACCACACCTGGTTTATCTTTTGTTTGTGGGGGTGGGTGAGTTGGATTTACAATGATCCACATGTAAATGTGACCTGCTGTGTGCATTCATAAGCCATACTTCTACGTGTGCGTGTATGTGTGCGCGTGCATGTGTGAAGAAGGGGGCTCTGTCCGACAGCTCCTGTCGCCCCTTCCCCAGGCACGAGCTCCTGGAAGAGGCCTGTCGCCAGGGCCTGCCTTTCGCTGCTTGGGACGGGCCCACCGTGGTCTCCTGGCTGGAGGTACTGGGGCGGAGCTGCCCTGCTCCGGGCAGGGTGGGGTTTGGTAGGAGGCCAGGTCCTCGGCAGGGTGGAGGCTGGAGCTTCCTGTCAGTAGAAACAGCTTCTTTCTCCTCTTCCACCCCTGCCCTTGGTCCTACCCACCTTGGTCTTGCTCTGTCATTTTTCCGATGTCCCTTTGTGTCCTCCCGTGTCTTTGTCTGTGGGATTCTCCGTCTGGTTTTCTGCATTTCTCCCCTGCTCCGACTGAATCGCTGTCACTCTTGGGGTCTCCGGACTCCCCTCCTATCTCCCACCCCCTCCCTCGGCTCTCTGTCCCCACTTGTCCTATCTGTCCCTTCTCCCCCGGTCCCCGGGGTTCGCCCCACTCGCCTCTCCCATCTGTCCTTATCCCTGCTTTCTGTCTCCTCTCCCGCCATGCCCCCGCCCCCGGTCCCCCTCTGCTCCAGCTGTGGGTAGGCATGCCCGCGTGGTATGTGGCCGCCTGCCGGGCCAACGTCAAGAGCGGTGCCATCATGGCCAACTTGTCGGACACGGAGATCCAGCGCGAGATCGGCATCAGCAACCCGCTGCACCGGCTCAAGCTGCGCCTCGCCATCCAGGAGATGGTCTCGCTCACCTCCCCTTCGGCGCCCGCCTCCTCCCGCACGGTGAGTGGCCAGAGGCCAATGCCGGCCCTCTCTGCACCAGGCCCCACCCCTTGCCCTCGGCATAGCCAATCCTGAGCCTGCTCACTCCCGTTCGGCCTCCGGACTCTGCTCCCATTGGCTGTCATTGTTCCATCTCCGGGCCTCCTCCCCACCCTGGCCCAGCACGTGTCGCACCAGGTCCCGCTCCAAAGGCCCCTGTCCCCGACTCTGCTCCCTGACACCTGCTACTCCCTTTGCTGGTTTTTCCCACGACTGGCCCTTTGTCATCTTGCGGTCTTAGCACAGATGTTGCCTCTTCCCGGGGACCTTCCCTGGGTCCACACCTGAACTGTGGTTCCACCTCTAGCACAGCAATATCAACTCATTTCTCCCTATCGCCTCTCCTGCCTTCTAATCATTTTCTCCTTTCCTTGCAACTTTTTACTGAGCAAGGTTTCAAATGTACGGTAGTTAAGTGGCCCCGAGTCTAACCCGCCAGTCGTTAACCCTTTGCCATACCTGCTGTTTCCGCACTGGAGTGAACGTCTGAGGTGCTTGGATGTCATTTGAGGCCATCACAACAGGTCGATCCCCAAATGACTTCAGCGGCGTCTCTTTCTCCTTTGTAGCCACCATTCCCTTATCACACCTAAGAGTGGATTACTTGTTTGTGGTACTGGGGATTGAACCAGGACCTGCACACTGAGCTACATCCCGGCCCTTTTAACATTGTGTTTTATTTTTGCTAAAATAAAACACAATTTTTGCCAAATTGCCAAATTGCTTGGTCTGCGTCCAAACTTGTGATCTTCCTGCCTCAGCCTCCCAAAATGCTGGAATCACTGGAGTGTGCCACCAAACCCAGCCGTATTTATAACTTGGTCAACATGTTTCCTCCGAGATGAGGGCCCTCCCTGCCTGTTGAATTCCTTGCCATATCCCAGACCCCGGACCATGCCTGACACCAGGACCCACACAAACGTTTGGGTCCAAGTAAGAATTCCTAACTGGTGGGGTTGCCGGCAGCAGTAACTCAATCAGTGTGAGCAAACCCCACCCCTTGCTGTGCCTGCCACCTGCTGCTCAATCCTGGGCGATGTCAGGAGGCCACGCAGCCTGGTCGAGGAAGGTGCTCAGTAGGGGATCCATCCTCTTCCCTGTTCCTGTGGGGCCCCAAGGAAGCAGGATGTGCAGAAGCGTTTGTCCCAGGGGCCTCGGTGTTCGACCACATTCTCTGCCCCCGTCCGAGATCCGCTCTGTCCCCTAAGGTCCCCTGCTCCTCAGCCCACAGGAAACGTGTGGATGACACACGAGGAGATGGAGTCCCTGACGGCCGCAACGAAGCCCGTGAGTGCCCCTGCCGGCGGCCTAGGGGATGACACTAACCCTCCGCGGGGGCGGGGGCGGGGACGAGTCTGTGGCTGTCCGTCTCTCCGTCCCTTCCGTCCTCCTCTGCCTGCCCCTTAACCCACCCCTTCTCTCCCCTCTTCCCACTAACGGGTCAGGAGACCAAGGAGATCAGCTGGGAGCAGGTAGGGGCGCGGGGCGGGGCGTGGGCGCATGAACAGGTTGTGCACGCGGCATGCTCGCCCCTCCCCTCTTAGCCCCGCCCTTTCCCTCCCTGGAACGTCCCATCGTCCCGCGGGCCGGGGCTGGGGCCGCGGCGCCGAGCTCAGCTCTGGACTGGTTTATTGAAGCATGGTGGGGGGCAAGTGAAAGCCACCCTGTTCTGGCCAGGCCTTTGCAGGGTTGTGGGAGCTCCAGGGGCTGTTCCTTTTCTGTGACTGAAGGACATTGCTAGCCGCCTGCTTTCCCTAGGGTTAAGGGCAAGAGGGCTATGCTGCGCGGTTGCAGGTTATGGTGGTGGTGAAGCAGACCAGGCAGAATTCGAAGTGGGGAGGGAAGCTACCCTTTGTTCTCAAGAAGGGAGGGACATGACCCTGCTGTGACGGAGGAGCCATGTTGGGCCATGGTCTTGGTTTCCAGCCAGCAGAAGTGTGGATTACGTTAACGAGAGTGAAGGGCTTTGGGCTGACCCAGAACTTGGTCCTAGGTCAGGTGCAGCGTTAGATGAGTATCTTCAAGACACCGTGGGAGTGATGCTCCTCTGTTGGGGGGAGCCATGCTAGGAGAATCCACTCACCTACCTTGGGAGAGTAGTGATGTCAGATTGAGTTGGAACACAGTTAGACCAGTGCTTTTCAAAATTTAATGCATAGTTCAGGTCTCTGGGGATCTTGTGAAAATGTAAATACTGACTTCAGTAAGCTGGGTGTGGGTTCGGGTTCTGCCAAGCGCATGCATGATGGTGACGCTCGCTGAGGGTCCTTGGACCAGGCTGAGACTGTTCTGTCACGGTGTAGGAGATAATTTTGGATTGGCCCATTGTCCAAAGCAGAGATTGGTCATTGTCCTGCTCTGGGGTAGGGGAAGAACAACCTTGGGTTAGGGGCTGGACTGTACCCCTTTCCTACACACACGGGAAGGGCCCAGAGAGCCTGACCTCCCCACCTCCCCATGGCCCCAGATCCTGGCATATGGAGACATGAACCACGAGTGGGTGGGAAACGACTGGCTGCCCAGCCTGGGGCTGCCCCAGTACCGCAGCTACTTCATGGAGTCGCTGGTGGATGCCCGAATGTTAGATCACCTTAACAAGAAGGAACTCCGGGGCCAGCTCAAGATGGTGGACAGCTTCCACAGGTGGGGCTGCCTGGCTGGCGGGGACGCGGGGAGCCCCACCCCTAGAGAGTCTATGGCCCGTGGGGCTGGTGATGGGAAATCTTTAGGATTATCTTTGGCCCTTCAGCCTGGCTTTGTCAGGAAATCCAGGCTCGGTGCTCTGTGGACCAAGAAGATGGTCCGTAGGAAAAGCTCAAATCCAGAGATAGCTTGGCTGGTTAACCCCACACCCGGGCCAGGTTAGCCGGTAGGAACTGTGTGTTGAAAATCCCCCGCCTCCTGGGAGGGCCTACAAGCAGTGTGGCTGATCATTGGAGCTCCCCGACCTGTCCAGAATAGCACAGCCAATGGAGAGGGGCCAGAGGAGGGGCTGCGAGGCTCCCCTGAGATTCCCGTTCCCTTGCTGCGAAGGGTGAGTCTACATTATGGGATTATGTGCCTAAAACGGCTGAACTATGACCGAAAGGACCTGGAGCGGAGAAGGGAAGAGAGCCAGACCCAGATCCGAGGTGAGGAGAAGAGGGTGGGCCAGGTGGAGGGGAACGGCAGAGGCATGGGTGGGAAAGAGAGGCCAGGGAAGAGGAAGACCTGAGCACTAGGGGAGCGCGGCTGAGGGTCCCTTCCGTTCCCAGACGTCATGGTGTGGTCCAACGAGCGAGTCATGGGTTGGGTGTCCGGGCTGGGCCTGAAGGAATTCGCCACGAATCTCACGGAAAGCGGGGTGCATGGGGCTCTGCTCGCCCTGGACGAGACCTTCGACTACTCCGACCTGGCCTTGCTCCTGCAGATCCCCACGCAGAACGCGCAGGTGAGCGGTCCCTGGGCCTGGAGTAGGCCGGGCTCTCCCAGTGGAGATTGCACACACCAACTTCTCTCCCGCCTCCTTCTCCAGGCCCGGCAACTCCTAGAGAAGGAATTCAGCAACCTCATCTCCTTAGGCACAGACAGGCGGCTGGACGAGGTGGGCTGGGCGCAGAAGCAGCTCGAGCCACCCCTCCTGGCAGCACTTCCGGAATCCGGGTGGGGTGGGGTGGGGTGGGGGTGGGGCTTGGCTGTGCAGACCAGTGCTGATTGGAGGCCGGGGCAGGGAGGTGCGGGGGAGAGGTGCGGACCCCCCCGGAGAGGGCTGGTCCAAATGAAGGGGCGGAGTCAGAGCGTGGTTTGGGACCCTCACCCTCTGCCTGCTCCTCTACCCAGGACAGCGCCAAGTCCTTCAGCCGCTCCCCATCCTGGCGGAAGATGTTCCGAGAGAAGGACCTCCGAGGCGTAACCCCCGACTCGGCTGAGATGTTGCCCCCCAACTTTCGTTCGGCTGCAGCAGGAGCCCTGGGCTCACCAGGGCTCCCTCTCCGAAAGCTGCAGCCTGAAGGTGGGTGGCTGGTGGCGGGGCCTCAAACGCCGCAGCCCCTCCCCTTCTCCAGAGTGGGAAATGGGCCAACTCTACCCTTACAGGTTCTCCTGACAAACGGACCGCTCCAATATTCCAGACTCTCCTTGGGGTGGATGAAGCACACACCCCAAATGAATCCACCCAAAGCCACCTGGGGCCCCTTGTTTAAGTCCCAGGCTGCCAGGAAGGAAACCTGATGTGAAGTTGAGATATCAGGAGAGGAAGCCCAAGGGGGTAGGGTGTCCTGGGGCTGAGGATGAGCTCACAGCAACCCTGACGGAAAACTAGGGTGAGGGCACGGGCGCTCCAGCTGAACCTCTGCTCGTTTCCCTCCAGGCCAGACTTCTGGGAGCTCCCGGGCAGACGGCGTTTCGGTCCGGACCTACTCCTGCTAGTGTTGGCCTCCAGGTGAGGACATAAGGACAGTACTAGGGGCTCTAGGGGCGCAGGGGAGCACAGTGGGTCTTCCCTGCGCTCTGCACTGCCCCGCGTCCCTGCAGGTGACCTCACTCGGATGGAGGACTCTCCCAGTGGCTGCGCCGTCCCGCCTGCTGCCCAGAGTCTGGGCTTACCCTAGAGAGCCGGCCAGGAGTTCCAGCCGCGGACTGCACCATCTGTACAGACAGGGGCCGCGCGCGTCCCCGCCTCCCCAGTGGACTGGGCCTGGACCAAACCATGTGGACCGAACTGAGGGGGGGACAGGAGAGGGAAGTAGCTATCCCGCCCCAAACTCCCGCCTCCCTTTTCTCTACTTTGTAATTTATTGATCAGTTTCCAACGGGAGACGGGTACTCTCCACCCGCGGAAAGGGGGCGGGCTTCCCTCCCGGGCCGCATGCGGGGAAAGGCTGTTCCCTCCCCTTTCTCCTGCCCAGTTGCGGGGCCCAAGTCTTCCTTCTTCCTCGGAAAGGAGGGGAGGGGGGACTCGCTGCTACAAGCCTCGCCCCCTGTGCCACTTGGCCCCGCCCCGCCGAATCCGGTCGCCAGTCCCCGGGGTCATTTGCAGGCGGGGTCCCCTGTCCCTCCCCCGTGTCTCGTGTCCCCGGGGCCTCCCCGTTCCCCGTGCTGTGGCCGTGTCCGTGCCCCAGGGGCAGGGGGCGCAGATGCGCGCTCCCGGATCCCCTCCGGCTCCGGGGTTTGCATGGGAGAATCCTCTTTCCACGATGCCACCGAGCGACGTGGCGTAGGAGGAGGGCGGATGGTGGGGGAACCCTCGCCCCCGGCTCTCGGTCGGCCTCCTGGCCCCAGGCGTCACTCAGTGATCACGGGTAAAGAGAACTGTTTCAAAAAGCTCCCGTGTCGACTGATTTTTTGGCTAGGCCCCTACGAAAGCAAAGCACCTCCTCCGGGACACAGGAGCCCAGGCCCCTTGTGTCTCAATCCAACCCTCCTCCCTGGGATGTATGAGTCAGGTCCCCAGCGCCCCCTTCCCCATTCCCTGATACCTGGAGAATTGGCCCCTGCAAGGACTGTGAGGTTTCGGGGAGCACGTTTATTCAGAGAAATAAATATGGCTCGTGGTAAAGGGTCGGAGGGCGGGGGGAAGGACATCTGTCACAGCCAAGGGCCAGATCAGGGTTCTGGGGTCTCCAGCATGTCTGCCAGGGCTCTGGAGAGGAGGACGCAGAGGTTACACAGCCCAAGTGTGGCCCTAGAACGTCTAGAGATGATTGCCTAGTCCCTTTAACGGACGAGGATATGGAGCCTCAAGGTCTCCCCATAACTCGGGACAGCGCTTATCTAAACAGGGCCCTTGAAGTGCCCCATCCCGTGCACACTTACTGATATAGGGAAGAGGAGAAATAGTCGACGTAGCTTCCTGTGGGGGTGTAGAGAGAGGAGGTTTGAGGGGGATTCCACAAGCGACATTAAAGGGATACTAAATATAAGTGCGAGGATAGGGCTAGCCCTGCCAACTGTTTCTAGCTCCGGCCGTAAACTGAGCTCGCTAGGAGGACTTTTTGAAACCTGCGCCCTTTCTTGCTAAGCCCGGTCCTGTTCTCTAGTAACCCCGCACCTTCGAATTCTGCTTGCTTTGGTCCCGCCCAATCGCCTCAGGGCCCGCCCCCCACCCATCACTCATCCTGTGGGTTTGCCTCAGGCCCCGCCCACCCATAGACTCACACCCTTGGCCACACCCCCGCGTATCCCCGCCCCATCAGCCTTGCGCACCAGCCCTCGGGTTTGGTTCCGCCAGCACCAGGGTTCACCTTGGGCGCCCTTTGGGCTTTCCTGGCCCCAACCCCTCACCTGGAGTGCAAACTGTTTCGCAGACCAGCGGGCAGAGGTAGCAGAACTGGCAGTGCTAGGGGAGGGACGGAGAAAGATCCTGGTCAGGGGAGAGCCAGGCTTGGGGTGCAGGTGGCGGTGAAGGGCAGAGTCGTGAGGGGTGCGAAGCCAAGGATGCATTAGGGGTTAGGGGATGGGTTAGACTGGGGTCGGGCCGGGATTTAGGATTTAGGATGGTCCCGGGCCAGCCTGAGGCCTGCTGGAGCCTTCAGGCTGGGGAGAAGTTCCACCTGGCAATGGTCGCAGTGTTCTTCCATGTTCTCCTCGTCACAGTGACAGTTCTCACATTCAGTGCATCGCTGGGGACGGAGGAGCTGGTTAGATGGCAACCCCAACCCCCTACGAGACAAGGGGGTCTTCCACGCCACCCTGACCTTTCCCCAGACTCCTGCCCTCACTGCCAACGCTGAGCTCAGTATCTTCCCTGCAGTGTCTGCACCCTTGTCCCTGGCTGCCCATCTCAGGTTGACCCGAGTGACCCATGCCATCCCCTCTGCCTGGCAGTCTATAGTCCTGGCTCTCCTGACCCTGACTCCTCGCCCAGGCCGGGGCTCTGTCTCTACTCCCCCAGGTGCTCCAGTTGGTTCCAGAAGTATCTTATTCACCCAGACCTGTCCCCATCACTCCCCTGCTCAGAGCTCTCCCACGGCACCCCAGGGTCCCCAGGACAAATCCTCAGGGACAGCTTGGTGGGCAGGTCCAAGCTGGAGACATACATCGCAGAAGGTGCAGTAGCCACACAGGGACCCTGGTTGGTAGTTCCCGTACTCCTGGGCATCCTTTGGACCTGTGGGGACAGGAAGTGGCAGTGACCTAGGCTAATTCTGCCCCTCCCCACCCCACCCATCCCGGCCACTTACCTGTGTCCTCACTGCTCTCCTCCTCACTAGAGCCATCATCAGGCACTTCTCTCCCGGCCAGGGGGTTAGGGATGATGATGAACGGGAGCTCGTCCTCCTCGCCCTCCTCCTCCTCCTCCTCCTCCTCCTCCTCCT